TTATGGCTTTTTGTTGCTTGTATCACGCACTTCCAGTATAAACGGATTCGATTCCAGTGTAGCCTCTCACTTTTTAGCATTTATTGGAGTCGGTACTGGCTACCTGATCCTGTCTTCACAACAGCTCCGGCCGTGGCCTTGCCCCTCACAGGTGAGGTTGTGATCCTTGTTCCAGTCTTGAATGCCTTGGAGTTGCTAATGTTCCCATTTATGGAGCCATCCGCGTTTTGGCTCCACCTAGACAAGACAGGAATGTTGTCCGCTACTTTCTTCGGTGCTGCTTTCTTCGGTGCTGCTTTCTTTGGTGCGGCCTTCTGAGGAAGCGCAATGGTTCCACGAATAGGAGCCGAAGGTTGTTTCTTAACGGGGGCCTTATTACCTGCTCCGAAGATTGACAGTGTTGCTCGGCCCTTTACAGGTGCTGCAATCGACTTCGTTGCCGCTGGGGCTCGGCCCTTAACAGGTGCTGCAATCGCCTTGGTTGCCGCTGGGGCAGGCTTTGGCTTGGGAGCACTCGATCCAAAGAGCGAAAACGAAGGCGCCTTCTTGACGACCGGGGCTGGTGCAGGTGCAGGTGCGGGCACAACCTTCTTGGCAGCGGGCTTTGGTGAACCGCCAAAGAAGGAAAATGCCGGGGCTGCCTTCTTTGCTGGTGCGGGAGCAGGAACCGGTGCGGGGGCGGGTTTAGATACTGCCTTCTTTGGACTTCCGAACCCGAACGAGAAAGCTGGTTTCGTGGCCACAGGCTGGGGCTTGGGGGCTGGAGCCGGGGCTGGAGCTTTCGGTGCTGGTTTCGGAGCCGGCGAGAAAAACGAGAAAGCAGGCTTTGCTGGTGCTTTCTTGGCCACGGGCTGAGGCTTGGGTGCGGGAGCCGGGGCTTTTGGTGCTGGTTTCGGAGCCGGCGAGAAAAACGAGAAAGCAGGCTTTGCTGGTGCTTTCTTGGCCACGGGCTGAGGCTTGGGTGCGGGAGCCGGGGCTTTTGGTGCTGGTTTCGGAGCCGGCGAGAAAAACGAGAAAGCAGGCTTTGCTGGTGTTTTCTTCGCCACGGGTGCTGGCTTAGGTGCAGGCACAGGAGTCGGCTTTGGCGGTGCTTTTGGAGCCGGGGAAAAGAATGAGAATGCAGGCTTTGCTGGTGCTTTCTTCACCACAGGAGCTGGCTTAGGCGCAGGAGCTGGGGCTGCCTTGGCTGGTGCCTTCGGGGCGGGCGAAAAGAAAGAGAAAGCAGGTTGCGCTGGGGCTTTCTTCGCCACGGGTGCTGGCTTCGGTGCGGGAACTGGAGCTGCCTTCTTTGGCGCGGGTGTTGGGAACAGAGAAAACGAGGGACTCTTTTTTACTGCTACCTTCTTGGGAGCAGGCTTCGGCGTAGCCTTAGCCTTTGGCGCAGCAATCTGGGGCAATTGGAAAGAAGGCGATTTCTTGACAGGCGCAGCCTTAGCCTTTGGCGTAGCAATCTGGGGCAATTGGAAAGAAGGCGATTTCTTGACAGGCGCCTTCTTCTCTGTCTTTGGAGTCAGGGCAGCAAACAAACCACCAGCGGGTGACGCTGCCGCCTTCTTCGCTGCTGGGGCAACCTTCTTGGCAGGGGCTGCCTTTTTGGGCGCTGGCTTGGGCTTGGGAATGGAGAAGAGCGGTTTGCTCTCTTTCTTCACAGGAGCAGGCGCAGGTGGCGTTCGGGCCTTCTGCAGCTCCAACTGCTTGGCCTGCCACTCGCGTTCCTTCTGAAGGATCTCTTCAGCAGCTTGAGCCTGAATAGCTTGGCGTTTCGCCAGCTGGGCCGCTTCTGCTTCCTGTTGAGCTTTCACCTGTGTATTGGTTGGTTCAAAATTAGACACGAAAATGAATGAGCAATAGTCAAAGATCACACCAGTCACCAGTCATGCAGAGCAGCTCCAACGTACCGCAGCAATGGCGGCTGCTTCTGCCTCCTGTTGAAGCTTCTGGGCAGCCTTATCCTGTGCCGCCTGTCGCTTCTTTCGCTCATCTTCGGTTGCCTTTTTTCGCTCTTCATCGGACATGGCTCGTTGTCCTTGACAAATAATACAATGGGTGAGGCAAACTTGCTTACACTTCAACAAAAAAGACATGAGAACCATGTTTTGATTGCAACTTACTTGCAGCCTCAGCTCTAATGGCTTCCAGCTCCTGTTCCCTCTTTTCCTTTGCCGCCTTGATGGCAGCATCTTCAGCAGCCTTTGCCTGAGCAATTTTTTCAGCCTCCGCCTTTTTCTTGGCTTCAGCCTCCTTCTTGGCGGCTTCTTCTGCAGCCTTCCGGGCTTCGGCTTCCTTCTTTGCATCTGCTTCAGTGGCTGCCTTGTACTCTTCCTCGGTGCAGTCAGCGTATTGGTTGAGGGTCATTTCCTTTCCAGATTCATTAGCAAACTGTTCCATGACGAGGAAATTGTCCGAAAAGACCTTGAAACGAGATTCGTCCTGTTCCTTTCCATACTCTTTGCACCAGTCAATGTATGCCGATCGGATGCGTGCCTCCCGTGCAATATTGTCGGATTCGATCTCACCACCGTCCTCGGCAATTCCCTGCATGGAATCAATGGCAGCTTCCATTTCATCTACATTTTTGAATCCAAGCTGACCAGCCAATTTCTATACACCACCAAATGAAAAAAGAAGGAATCGAATAATCAGCCCTTCAACTAGTTCTCCCGGGCCTAAACTAAAAATAATGTTCAAGCAATACAGACATACCTCTTCTTCCTCAGCAAGTGCCTCGGAGGCTTCGGCAAGAGCATTCGAGGCTTCTGCCTGGGACTCGACAGCTTCCATCGCTTTTCCCATAATATCACTGCCAGCCGACTTGGGTTCACTATCCCCAGCTTGCATGGCTTCGTATTCCTCTCCCGAGAAATCTCCAAACTCGTTGAGGGTCAAAAGGTCGACAGTGCCAGTCCCTTGATCACGAGCTTGTTTCTTGGCAGCCATGTTGGCAGATGTCAAGGCATCGTAATTGGACTTGAATTGCTGGTATCTCACTTCATCAAAGTCGCCCTTGTTGAATTCTTTGCGCCATTCATCGTACGCCAAACGAGCGGCAGCATCGTATGGGACGCTCACATCGTCAGTGGCAGACGCGAGAGAAGTAGAAGCTAGGTGGGGAGTGCTCCTAACCACAGTGTTCCTATATGATGGAACAAAAGCAGAGACTCCACTGCTCAGTGCGAGCAACAGAGCAAGGGAATGAAACCTCATGGTGAATGATCTTTGGGACAAAAAGATATCGACCTAAATTAATGCCTTCTCTTTTTGATTACTACAGCCTGGAACCGCAGCCACTCAAGTGAACGTGGCAATGGGGGATGGCTGTGGTCGTCGTGCAAGCTAGCTGGATGTAGCTGCTCGCTCTACTACTAGTAGCCAAGAATCCTTTCTTCAAATCCAGTGCGTGCTTCCGCTATTGGCAAGATAGCATGAAGGTACAGCCGTACAGCGGTAACATCGGCGGTTCTCTTCCTCTCATCCATTTGGTGATGTTGGAGGCAGTGGTACGTCAGTTCCACTGAGGTAAGTTGATTCGTGACTCAACCAAAGATACACGTGGAGTCCCGGAAAAAAGCTGGTATTTCCAGTGCTACCCCTTTCCTTAATGAAGATCTTGCTACCCAAAGATCTTTGTGAACTCTCCTCTCCCTCATTTCTGGCGAGTTGGTGTGAACTCGTTATCATTATTGATGGCGCCGTTAGCCGTGATCCCTCGGAGCTCTGTTGTGGTTTGGATGGTGGTTCTTCTACTGGCAAGGTCGTCTGTGGTGGGGTCGTTTTCCTTTGTAGGTCGTCGAAATTCTGTGGCAGCTGCTGCTCATTGGTTCAAGCCATCTTCTTCTACTGGTACCACCGGTACCGCTACTAGATGTAACATGTCTACCGAGTCTCCCAACAAAAAGAGCAAAACGGTACATAGCCTTCTTTCCGGCAAAAAGATTGTGAGCGTCGAGGAGAGTCTTCAAGTTTTCGGAGAGCCTGGAGTTGTCTTTGTGGATGGTTCTTGGTTCCTGAAGGATCGGAATGGACGAGAAGAGTTCGAAGCAGGGCCTCGGATTCCAGGAGCACGGTATTTTGATATTGATGATGTTGCTTCCAAGGGTGACTTGAACCCAAAAGGTCTGCCACACATGATGCCACCCAAAGATTTGTTCGCCGCTTCCATGGACGCTTTGGACATTACAAATTCAGATCATTTGATTCTCTACGCGACAAAAGGATGTGTAAGTGTGCCTTCTTTTGGCTATCTGATTGATCTGGTTACAAATAACTCAGATTACCTTTGCCTTTTTCCACTCTGACGGCTATTTTATATGTAGATGTTTATTCACAGAGCATTGTATCAGATCCAAGCCATGGGACACGAGAGGGATCGGGTCCATCTGATGAACGGATCCCTGGAGGAATGGGAAAAGCAAGGGGGAAAGTTAGACAAGGAACCAGCCAAGGTGATAAACGCAGATGGCTTGGACCTGTCAAAGCCGACAAAGTACACAGCCACTGACCCACAGAATGTAGTAGACATTGAAGAGGTTAAGGGTATTGTAAACAAAGGAAAGGACACCGATTCGATCATTGTCGATGTACGGTCTTCAGAGCGGTTTCTTGGCTCGGTGGAAGAGCCCCGACCTGGCCTTCGTCTTGGGCACATGCCCGGGGCCAAGAATCTCTTCTTTTTCTCGCTTCTAGATCCAGACAATGTGGCCCAACTGAAACCAAAACAAGAACTCCAAAAACTTGTTGCAGATGCTGGCATTGACATTGAAACTGACAAGAGAATTGTGATATCCTGTGGTAGCGGCGCAACAGCATGCGCATTGGCAGCCGCCCTCGATGTCTGTGGACGAGACCCATCCAAAACTGCAATCTACGATGGAAGTTGGAGTGAATGGGGCTCTGAAGAAGACACCCCAATAACAAAGGATCCTGATACGTAGAACAGTCAACATACATGCACAACACAAGTCCTTTCTGGCTACTTATAATGGCTAGCTACGGTAGTACGATACGGGTGCAGTGCAGAAAAGCAGCTAGTCGCATCATGATCTGCTTGCTACAAGCGTAGGGTAGTTTCTAGCTAGAGACCTAGAGCAACCCTTGTCGCGCAAGATCCTCGTAGGCAGCACGAGACAACACGTTTCCATGAGAATCCTCGTATTCCTCCTCTTTGAATTTGCCTTCTTCAAGCTGCCCTTGGAGTTTCTTCCAAAGATCTTGAGCATCTTCAATCTTGGTGACCCCGTGAAAGTGTTTCTGGAGGCATTATTAAAAGCAAAGAGAAAACCAACCAAAAGCGTGAGATTCTCCACAAGGAAAACACTATTGGAACCCTCCATCGTGGCGTTTCCGTGGAAAAGAACGTACCGTGTTGGGAATGCCCAAACATTTCATGCCATAGGCATGCTTGGGTTCGGTTGTGAAATGAAGCTCAAAATTCTTTCTGCCGCGGTAAGATTCATTACCACAAATTTCACAATTGTAAAAGTGATTGAGCCCATGTAGCTTGAAGAGCCAATAGGGAATGGGTTTGCCATCCCAGCCCAGTGGCACTCCCTTTGGATTGTAGATTGGAGCATCCTCGTCATCGTCGTCATCGCTATCGTTTTCATTCTTTTCCTTGTCTCCCTCCGATTTAGTTTTGTCGTCGAGTGCCGATCCGTGCAATTCTTCCTCTAGCTCCTGGTCTCGTTCATTGAGTGTCTGTGCCTGTCGGCGCTCTAGACGCCGCAAAGTGGCCTCCAATGACGGCCGCAAGTGATCCAAGAGCGCCATGACAATGGTTTCCCTTCGTGCAATATCGACTCGTCGTTCGGATTTGGATGCGACAACCGCACTTGCGGATGTTGTTGCTTTTTCGCCATTGTTGGACGCCTTTTTCTTGGCAAACAACTTTTTGGGTAGCTTCTCGAGAGGAGTATCCTTCGTCATGAAGAGACGTTTTGCTCTATCCGCAGTGGTTCCACCACATTTCATTCCCAGCCGTGACAATTCTGCCTTGAGTTGATCGCCATCGACGGCTTTTTCCAAGGCTGCCGCCGAGTCATAGGGTGCCAAGTCAATTCCCACAACCTGTTTGTCGTCGTCGTCGGTTGCCCCATCTTTGGTTGCCGTTGTTGTCGTTGTTATTTCTACCATGATGGCTTCTGCTGGTTTTGCTTCCCATCCATCGACTCCTCCTTTGGCTTTCCATTGCGTTTCGAAATCCTCAATCGATGGTTTCACAATGTCTTGAATTTTGAAGAGTGGCGATACCTTGTGAATGAATCCTTCGAGATAGCTTTGCGTGGCTCCCAGAAATCGTACATAATGTTTTCGATCTTTGAGTTTATCTGCTTCGATTGCCGTCTTGGACAAGGGTCCCCTGGTGAGGAATGCGAGAAAATCGGGATACGTAAAGGAAGTATCCACCAAAATTGTTGTTGTAGTGGCAGGATTATTATTGTGTTTGGCCAGTCGTTTGAGAAATACGGCAGCAGATGCATAGATTGGCTGTAAGTCTAGATATTTTCCCATGACTTCTTCCTCGTTAAAGAGAGATCCATTCTGAATCGGAGCCAGAGTTTCATGGACAGTGGAAGCCAAGTCATATCCATCCGTGGCAGGATTTCCCAGCTTTTGTCTCTTTGCGTTTCCGTGCAACAAGCGTTCTTCTGCCATTTCATGCCTGGCATGATAGGACTGGATTTGTTGCAGTCGTTCGTCAAATACCTGTAGCCATGCCGTTCCGTAGTTGGGTAGGGTGGCCTTTGCCGTGGTGAGTGCCCGTTTGAGTGTGGTTCCTTCCTTTTCTCGCTGCTCCTTGACTGACTGTGCCAAATCTGCCTCTCGTTGCAGACACTTGGCGAGCGCCGTCATGTGGACAGCTTTTGCCAATTGTCCTCGTCCCAATGGCAATTCCTGATCTTGCTGTTTCGAGGCATCTAGAATAATATTGTTGCCAATAGCCGCGGTAGTACTAGTAGAAGTCTTTTGGAGACTCGTGTCGGACACCACAGTCCAGGCATCTCGGACTCCTCCTGGCATGGTAGAGACATCAACAGCAGAGGATTCGTTCTTGTTTGCCGGGGAGTACTTCAATAGAGATGCTGCCATCATGGTTGTCGCCTCCATTTCCGTCTCCAAGCATCTACCTTTCTCGAGGGTAGATGTCAGACTGGAGAGCGCACTCTGGATCGTTGCCAACTGCTCGGGTGACGTCACGTTTTGAGGAGCTGAAGCAGGAGGAGGAGGGGGCGGTGGAGGCGGCAAGAAAGATGGCAGTGGCGGTGGTGGTGGAGGAGGAGGTGGTGGTGGTGGCGGCGGCGGCGGCGGTGGAAGGTCCATCTTGGTCTTGGTCTTTCAACAGATGATGAAAGACTGATCGAGCTGAGATGCTGCTGCTGCTTCTTTAACAGTCGTTGTGAACCCAACGAGTGACTTCCAGTTCTACTTCCTGTACAAACAGGCTGATCTTGCCGTGGCTTTCGTATCTTATTATCTTATTATGCAATCGGGATATTGCTTCCAAAAGTCTTTCCCTTTGTCATCGTCGTTTGGCAGTGGATGGACGAACGGTGGTAGATGATTCGATTCGATTCGATTCGATTCAGTCAAATCAAATCGAATCGATTCGATTCGATTCATTTGCCTATTACAGGCTTGCTGGCTTTATTTAGATCCAACCATGACAATCGCACAAATAATAATCTATTCTACTCCTGGAAACGATAATAGTAGAAGCTACCCTCCATCCAAGCCCAAGGTGACCTAATCTAAGAGAACTATACCATATTATACAACAATGAACCACCTCCTCCGCCGTGCTCTTGTTCAGCCCCCGCGTTGTGTTCGCTCTTTCCATGCTTCCTCGCTTTCAAATCAAGCTCTGCCGGACAGACACGGGACCACCATTGTTTGCGTTCGCAAAGATGGCAAGGTCTGCATGATGGGTGATGGAATGGTCTCACAAGGAAATATGATTGTCAAATCCAACACCAACAAAATTCGTGTCCTCAAGGATGGAACACTCGTTGGATTTGCAGGGTCCACTGCTGATGCATTTACCTTGTTGGAACGGCTGGAAGGAAAACTCGATGAATATCCCGGGCAATTAACTCGAAGCTGTGTCGAATTGGCCAAGGGGTGGAGAACCGACAAATACTTGAGACGTCTAGAAGCATCGCTGGTAGTTGCCGATGCCAATGTGTCCTTGGAAGTCACTGGAAATGGAGACGTGTTGGAAAGTTCCGATGGTATTCTGGGAGTGGGCAGTGGGAGTCCCTTTGCTATTGGTAGGTTTGACTCAAAGCAAAACAGGATAGAAGGAGAGGAGAGTTGATATTGCTCTACTATCTAGCTGGTATTCTAACGTTTCGTTCGCATTCTACTGTTAGCTGCCGCGAGAGCATTGATCGATGTGACAGAATTATCTGCGGAAGATATTGCCAAGAAGGCTATGGCGGTGGCTTCTGAGATGTGTGTGTACACAAACAGCAACTTTCGAAGTGAAACTCTCCCAAAAGAGGATGAAGCAAAGACAGAATAGCAAGATAGAAGAACTTCTGGAGTGAATAGCTTTCTTGCAATTAGTTCCAAGGAGATCACAGATTGGATTCTACAAACTAAAATCTTGTTCTTTGAAACTTTTTAACAACCCAATACTGATATATTGATTCGGACTTGTGAAGCAATGGTTTGTTTATCCACACAACTTGGTAGATACTAGTACTAGCTAGTAGACAATCTTCCAACGTTTTACGTGTGTGACTCCGTCCAGTAGCCAGCTGATTGCTTCTTTTTAGTTATTCTAGCTAGGTTTTCAGGTTAGATTCGATTGATCATTCAATTCTTTCTACGGTAGGTTGATGGATTCGATTCATCAAGAGGGGATCCCACGGCGCGTCTTTGCAGCATAGTACGAACGTCACAGTGCCTACCCCGGGCCCTGCGACTATCGGTACAGACGAGAGCACGGAAGCGCCACGGTGGGGGCGCCGAAGTGTTGGAACACGATTGCCCTCCTCTTTCTAATTGAAATCTACTTGTGCACTCCGTTCTCAACAGCAATGGATTGCACATACGATGCTACGGTAGCGAGCTTCACGATCCGCAAGGAAACTTATGCGGTAGCATCGCAGATTTCAAAAGCTCCGGGTGCTTGCCAGCGGAGAGATGTATACCCGCACGAAACCCTTCCTTGGCTCCACGATGGCACGCAGAGTTTTTGGTAGAAGTAAGATCTCAAAAGCTCCAGGTACTTGGGCCAGCGGAGAGGTGTATACCCGCACGAAACCATAAGTGCATGGCTCCACGATAGCACGTAGAGTTCATGGTAGAAGTAAATGTGTGTGGGCCTTCGTTGTACCAATCATCCACGCAACCAATCTCAAGTATTGATAACAACTCCAAATCGTGCCAAAACGTAACGTCTCGATTTGGCTCTCGTTCAGAAGAGTCGTCAATCGATCTTTGTCATTAGATGAGGATCATTTTTCAGTCAAGAGGTGAATTAGCTCTGAAATATACATCAACGTGCCCTCAACGATTCACTCAGTGTTGGCCTTCCATCCAAACTCTTCAAGCAACAAAACGACAGCTGCAACAGTAAAAGCGAGCAACGAGCAACCATGAAGCTGCTGTTTTCCCTTATTTGCATCTTTGCCTTCGCCATTGGCCAATGTCAATCCGATTTTGAGTTTGGAAGAGCCACTCTAGATGTGGAGGAGGATGAACTCGATGTGGAAAAGTAAGTTGTTGGTTGCCACTCTTGCAATGCGCTTTCACACGTTTTAAGCTCTGCAAAACTCAATCGTCTCGCCTTGTCGATCATTGCTTGCTGTGATACTCTTGTTGCAGGGCCTTGAGGGAACTTATGGTTCATTCCAATATGTTCATGTCCATGTCCCTGAGCTTCTCGTTTGATTATGATGGTACAGACGACAGCATCACTGGCTCGAATGACGAAGGCCCAGGCGGATCGAATGGTGACAAACCAAGTGGATCTGGGACTCCTTCAGCTCCAAGCGTGGCTTCGCCAACTACGCCTTCGTCCCCCACTCCATCTTCTTCTGCCAGTCCAGCTTCGAGCCCTGCGTCGGTCCCCACTCTTTCAAGCCCGGTGCCAAGCGTCACATTGAACCCAGCGTCGAGTCCAACGGTGCTTTCCGTGCCGACTGCATCGCCCAATACGAATGCCTCTGCAACACCGACCAGTGGTGTTGTCTTGCCCTCATGTTTCGACTTTCAAGCCACGACGCTTACATCTGATCTCAATATTGAGACGACCAAAGACAGCATTGCCTTCACTGTTCTTGAAAATGCCCTTGATAGCGCCCTGCGAGAAGTTCTTCCTTTCTGCGAAGAGCTGGGCAATAATGGCCGACGACGACGTTTGGAGGACTTGATGGGATCTGGCAGTGACTATTACATTGGGAATGTGGACCTCGACGAAGCATCTGATCAAGGTAATACGATAATTGGAATTGCGTGATTGCATCATTCTTGTCATTCGTTTCTTGCCCTCACCTGTTCGGCCGTACCGGTATCCCCTTGCAAAGCCACTTGCACCCCTGAGCATGCCGGCAGAAACTGCTTTGTTGGACGACTCACTCTTCGGCTGTTTGGAACCATTACGGACGAGATTATTGCTCATGTTTTGGAAGTGGTTAAGGGACTCCTCGAAACCGATGTTGGAGAGGCTCTTGGGGCGGAGAACGGCTTCATCGACAATGTGAACACGGACAATACTGAGACGGATGCCAATGGAGGAGACACGTCACAAGGCACGAGAGACGGACGTTCTCAGAAGATTTCGAATGCCGGAAGGAAGGTTCTTATCTCTATGCTCTGTCTGGTGGTGGCAGCATTTGCTGGCTTCATGGTGTTCCGTCGTTTCCGGCCAAGGAATGCTCGACTTCCCGATGACGAAGACGAAGACGAAAGCGACGGATCTCATCAGCGCACCACCGCCATCACTGTTGATCACCACGACAGGATGTATGCAGCGTAATGGGTCAGTGCTCGAGGATACTTTGGAGCACAATTAATTTCAGTTCGTACTGTACGGTACCGGTACACCATAATAACGAGGGCTATAGAACCAGTTATAAATGATTAAAGCCTGCTAAAGCTAGCTAGCCTTGCACTGGAAGGCTCCGGGCACTTGTGGATCAACGCTATGATAAAGCAACTGTAGAAGTGCCTTGTCCACTGTTTCTCCCATGGAGCAACGAGGCGTCTCGTTGTTGCTAAAATTGTTCAAGTTGGTTGTAGCGCGGGAGTTGACTCGACACGTGACGTCCTTCTGCTTCTGGATCTTTCCGAAAATGACCTGTGGTAGCGATTTATGACTATCCAGTTACCAGATTACTAAAATCAACCACAACAACTACCAAGTAGTAACACAACACTATAGCAACCTCTTTTCAACACCATCATCAGCCTTTTTCGGCTTATCAGGCGTGGAAGCTACTACACGATCGATAGGAGAACAAGCAAGCAACGATCGTTGCGAGCGACAAGAAGAAGAAGAGCCGTTCGTTCGTCCGTTCGAACGCCATTGTCGACGATTCGAAGATACCGTTCGAACGACGACGAGAAGAAGACGACGCGACGCTACCGTTCGTTCGAAGCGACGCCATTGTCGTTCGCTTGTCGAGAAGAAAGAAGAAGAAGAAGGAGTTTGTTAATCGTTCAAACGTGTCGACGCTACCGTTCGACGTGAAGATACCGTTCCTTTCGAAGCAGCGCCATTGTCGCCGATTCGGAGCTACAGAACGACAAGAAGAGATCCTCATTGCCACCGATCGGTCGGCAGAGGAAGAAGAGAAGAAGAGAAGACCTCCAAGCGGCATAGCAACAGAAGACCTCTCAAGAAGAAGGGGCTCTCTCAAGTGGAGCGAGAGAAAGAGACTTCCAAGTGGGAAGCAGAGGTTTGGACTTGGAATATTGATCCCTCCAGTCTGGATCAATTCCTGCCTCATTGTCACCAAAGAAACCGGTTGAGCCAAGGAGAGGGGACGCCTGATCCAAGAGTTTTGGCCTAGATTGCCACAGACTGGGTGTGCAGAGCTCATTCCGTGGAATACAGCCTTACTTGTCTGGGTGTGTACAGTTTGCTGTTGGAATAGGAGCAGAGAAGAAGACCCAACAACTGTTGCTCATCCAAGTGATACCGCAAGAGAAGAAGTAATTGGAGGCGAATATGGCAGGCAATCTTGCAGCCATGAACAACTATTTACAGAATACCATCGGTATTGCCGAATTAGCCACGAGGACAGCATTGAATGATCAAGGATTGGATGCCTTCGTCTCACTCGATACCTTTACCGATGCTGATATCAAGAGCATCTGCGAGAACGTGAGGAAACCAGGTGGTACCATTCCCAACCCAGCCATTGCGGCTGCAGCCACTGATGAAGCTGCCGCAGCAGTTCAGCCCAGAGAAGTTCCCAATCGTGGACGACAGCTGGGATTTGTCTTTGAGAAGCGACTCAGACAACTACGGTTCTACAAGTTTCATATGACACGAATCCAGCGTGAGTTCACTCCCAACCAAGCCAGTTTGGCGAGATTGAATAGAGTTTGGGCTTTATACGAGTCGAACGAGAAGAGATCGATGTTGCGGATCCTCCCCAATCTTGAAGGTCGAAGATGTCCGACGAGTTCTGGAGTCTATTGACAATGTTCTGAATGTCAAGCGAGGCGTTTGCGGTGCCCCTCTGGCTTATGTTACGAGATCCAAAGTCACTTTGCCAGGACACCTGATACCGACACGCAGATGAGGCTGACCCAGTTTTGGCCTTCCATCGCATCCTGAAGAATTGGTCCGAAGGACAAGACATCGGACCTCATTTCGTACAAGACAATCAGGCTGTTTGTGGCCATCATTCGGTCGGTTACTCACGGTGGACCTGGTTGACATGGGTCCAACGTTGCGCAGCGCAACAGAACGGCCGAGCAGCTTACTTGGCCATGAAGGTTCACTACTTGGTGATTCGTTCCAGGCTCGTACCAAGGCATTCGCGGATAGAGCCATTAAATACTTTCTTTGATGGGAAGTCCCGCAACTTCATTTTGAGCGCTACTGTGAAAAGCTTACCAAGGCCTTCACGACTGGAAACCGCTGGTTAAACCTTTACTGAGAGCCCAAGATTCGCAAGCTTCTTCCGGCATTACAACCCAACCTCAAGACCGCCAAGTCCGTCATTCAAGCATCGCTCCTACAGCGAGAGTTTCCAGGAGGCTATGAATTACTTAGCCGAGCAACTTGATGTTTCATAGCTATCTAGTCCATGCGACTCACTCGAAAGAGATATATATATATATTCCCCAAGTTTTCTTTGTGTTGGGGGGGTCTGCCGGTGGTCGAGCGGCGGGGGTGGG